ATATAAAAATATCATAACAAAGACATTTTGTGTATAGATGGCTTTGCCAACAAACTTCGAAATTAAAAAAATTTATAATTGTACACAATTTTTATTTGTCACCTATTTGTTCATGCTTTGTAGAAATATTTGGGAAATGAAAAGCTTTAGACAGTATACAGTGTCCTTCACCTTGCAAAATTTCAGAGTCTGAAATGTTCATATAAAAACTAAATTGCATTTTTTTTCACACTTATAGGTGTGACAAAAATATATAAATAAGAGTGGCCAAAAAGAAGAATGCCCCAAAACTTTTACTATAGATATTATAAAGAACCATGAAGGCATTAATAGTAATGTAGTTTACTAAACCTTGCAACAAAATGTAAATGGAATATCTGCATTTGAGCATTATGCCCACATATAGTAAAATACAATTACATCAAATATTTCTAATATAAAATGTATTTAGAACTGCTATGCTAACTGTGACAGATCCCTCTGTCTTGGAACTATAGTACTTTCCTGGTGGATTCGTGCAATTGCCTGTCCATACTTCCCCTTTCGTTTATTTGTTAATCTACCGAACAAACTGCTGAACGGCCGGCCACCCAGAAGAGGAGTGTGCTGCTGGTTAACCTATTGGCCCCAATCTGAACGTGGTGGTTAACCACAGACACCTCCTAATTGAAACCGTATGCTGGGTGGTCGTCGTTCGTATGCCGACCACGAGGCGGCGGCCATCTTAGATGCATGAATACACAGCGGTGTTCGTCGACAAACTTATGGAACTCAAAACGGACACCTTTTCTCCCGATCACCGCTGAAACCGCTGACCTCCATTCTTTGTCATCCGGCATACGAACGCCGGTCCGTTCGCGACTTTTTATTTCACGAATGGACTTAACCCAGATAGCCATCCCATGGAGCCATTCGTATACCGAAAGAACAGTGTGAAAGACTTTGGCTCCATGGCGATTGAACTGTGTGTATTGGATCTGAGCGCCATTCGGTAATAATGTGCGCTCAGATCTAGGCTATCTGGGGATATGTTATATGTACTGAATACATTCGGTAGTTTTACAGTTATGGAATTTTATGTATTTTAAAATAGCGTTTTGCCTCTATCCATGGAGATAATTGGATTTCTTCCAAATTATCTCCAGGATAGAGAGGAGGGGTTTGCTTGTACAAAGGGGAGTGTTTATGCCTGAGCCACTGTGATTGGCTAATGTACCATACTTGTCCCAGTCTTCCATCTGGTCCCCTAGGGGAGTGTCCACCAGGTGGGAGACCTGCATAAATACCAGGCATTGACCCCTTAATAAATCAGATTCCTGTTTTACCCTCGTGTTTGGGGGGATTGCTACTTTGGAGTATTCTTTCGCCTGTTCCAGGAGAGAAGGAGTTCGTATGATTCTCTGTTCGGGAGTTTGGAGCATTCCCTTTTATTCCGTTCAGGTGTTTGGCGGTTCACAGCAACGGTACCTGTGTCTCTAAAGGGGGGAAGATCTACTAAACGGTGGTTTCACTCATTTATGCCGGGAGTGTCTTAACACTAATTCCAAAGAACCCCTACTATAAGAGGAAAAATGGAAATGAGCAAGTCCCTAAAAAATGATAAGGAAAGTTTATTCGAAGACAAAGGCGAACACAGGCACCGACATGCGCGTCGGGTAGCTTAGTTGTTTTTAATTGTTCACAGTTTGTGAGTGGTGAGTTGTCTGTAGGAGTCTCTAACTATAATCAGATTTTTTGGGATGTGTAAATGCAAAGCCACCTTGGACTCTTTTTACCATTGATAGGAGAGTCTTGAGTAATGCAAGGTAAAAAAGTGTTTAAGTCATGGTAGCACTCTCATATCCATCCTTATAGCGGAGATCCAGCCTGTGGTATTAGGAGGCTATATGCTTTGCAATATTTCCTTTTAGCATTAGACATAAGTTATCCTTTACAAATACATGTTCTTGTTTTCATTAGTTAGTTGTTGTTTTTTTGGTTTGTTTTACCCTGTCCCCCAAATCTCCTGGGTTTATGTAGTCATATGTATTACACCTAATCACTACTACTGTTAGTGTTACAGAGACTTGATTGATACATACTTACCTCAAGTATCCTTACATCAAGCCAGACGAATATTTTGACTGCCAGTGAGTATCTACACTAATTAAGTAGGATTTTTTGTAACAGTCCTCTTTGTTATTTTTCTAAGGATCAGTTGTGGTTTACATTGCCGGGTCATTTTCCTTTGTGGGATTATGAATTTATGTCCTCCCTATATTCACTACATAGACTGAGATCTAATTAGGAGACTCATATGTATATATTTTCTTTTGTTAGGTGATGGGTTTATTATTATTTTTTACTAATTATTTGAGTCCTTGAATACTTCTAATTTCAACATTTTCAATTTATTTCAAGTTTTTGTCTAATTTTGAACAAACATTCCTTATCGATTTTTAGGGACTTGCCCATTTCCATATTTACTCTTTGGAATTAGTTATTATTTTCCAATGCTCTCTGGTTATGCCTTTGCAAGCTCCAAAACATGACTTGATTGATCCTTTATAGCAGGCTTCCCCAAACTTCGACCCTCCAGATGTTGCTGAACTACAACTCCCATGATTCTCACCCTATCTATTTCATTCAAGAATAATGGGAGTTGTAGTTCAGCAACATCAGTAGGGCCGGAGTTTGGGGAATCCTGCTCTATAGGGATACATTTATACATTATTTTTATTTAAAACTGCTATAGCAATGTTTATTAATCTCTGGATTGCTAATGTAATGCGAACAGTGAAATTGTAGAGTGCATTCACCCCCCCTTTTCCCTCCCCCAACTGTAAGAATGGTATCATCCAGTAAAACTTCCTGTACTGTTTTAAAGCAGGGGTTGTACTTATATTTTTAGCAATTTTATATTAATTCTATCAGGGACTAATAGCTTCTGGCAGAGAAATATGTTCATCTACAGGTTGGTAATCATAACTAGAGTGAGTGAGTCTTCATGGACTAAATTATATACTGCAAAATAAAATGAAAATAAATATGGTTATACTCGATTTTGGTATTGAAGCTTTAAACTTATATTCCCAAAATGGTGGTGTCACCTGAATGATAGAGAATACAACGAACACTCATTTACACTACCAGTTGGCTATCCCTTGTTATAAGCGTAGTTGTGATGTTTGAAAACATTGGCACCACTTGGATTGAACAAAGAATTCTATTTTACTCCGTTCATCCACAATTAACATTACTAGTCTTGGGAGCGTGGTTTGGACTCTGACCAGAATGGCAGCATAGCTTGAAAGCTCTGCTTCTCTAAGCCTTTTATAAGCACTTTATCAGTGCAATTCTAACCTATTCAACCGCTAATGAGAGAGCACTGATCCACCCCAGACCCTCAGGAGCTCGAAGTCCATCTCTCAAACAGACCCCATGGATGGGTTTTTGCAGGCACCGGCCGGGAACAGCCATGTGGGATTGGATTCCAATATGGCACCTGTGACGAAAGCAACTTCACCACTGGTTCTTGGAGGGGACTAATTGCCAGCCTTTTACCCTGTGACTATGGCCCCTTTAATTTATTGTGGTTAAAGATACTATTTGTGCCTATTGGAACTTGGCACAATGGTCTTCAAACTTTCAAAGTGGCACTTCGGCTACAGTCGAAGTAGTTGAAGTGGCCGTCATTCGAACACAATTCGGTCTAATTTGGTCGAACGTGTTCAGCGGTGTTTTGTCGTTGAGTTCATGGAACTCAAATCGGACATGTGACGGCACGAACACCACTGAACAGTTACCTTCCAGGGAACTTTGACTATTCGAACGGGAGTCGAACGGCGTTTGGTGAGTCGAAGCCCACGAACAAGGGACGCACATTGACTATGGCCATTCACCATTACGTTCAGTAATTATAACAGTACTTCGACTGTTTAAAATAGACCGACCGCACAGCCTAATTCTCTGGAACTGTTTTGGACATGAAACCATGTGTACGGTCAGTCAAAAAGAGACTTCCAGGAACTTCCTGAACCCCTGCTCTGATCTGGGTGATTTTTGGATATGTTATTCATCCAGATCAGGTTTATCAGGGGATATATTGTGTTTTGGGGTACTTATTGGACCTTGTAAAAATGTGTGTTTTTTCCACCTGGGTATATTTAAGTTAATTTAAGTTATCACCTGCAGAGGGTTCACCCACTGGATCCTGGAGCCTTGTCGTAGGTCCAGGGTGGGTAGGAGACGGCGAGACCCCAAGCAAGCTATGGCTGTTGTGAGGTCTGCAGTGCTTATGGTGTCTGGAGGAGTACTCGGATTCCTCGGTGAGCACTAGGAGCATCCGTCGGCGGAGGTACCCAACCGGGATACAGGAAGCTCCATCACATTTGGTGGCAGCGACGGGATGGTGTCCTAGTGTGAGGAGAAGCATCCTGGAGACACCAGGAAAGGTGTTGATCATAGTGAGGGCAATGCTAGCATTCATGCAGCGCCCCTGGAAGCAGAGGTGTCCATTGACTTGGATCAGGCAAGTATGTCATACTCTGACTCTTGCAAAGATTTGCTGGCCGAGGTGAGGCAGCAAGTGGTCTGGTATGACCCTGGTGTGTTCATGGATACCTTCCAGGCGATCTGGAACCAGGTAGCCATCGAAAAACAAGCGAAGTGAGACCAAGAGTTTCTGCTGGCTAAAGCGAGGGAAAGAAGATTTACTCCTTTGTCTGCTGTTCCAGCTTGCAGGGGATTCAATGCGGAAAGTCCTTGTAAGGACTAGAGCTAATTCCCCATTCGGCTCTAGGAAGGAATGGTTCCAGGGCCCCAGTCAAGCCATGGCGCCTGTGGGCAGAAGTGCTGCCGTTTGTCCCCTGTTTCAGCTAGGAAGCGGTCCTTGGCAGAGGTACCCAGCCACGGGTACAGGGAGCTCCACTACAGCGCCATCCCCACCATCCTCCCTGGCGGGCTCTAACCATGCAACGCTGGGCAGCATATACGCTGAATGGCAATCCTTAGCATCCGTGATGGCAACTAAACAGGATCTCCAGATCCTCACCTCCACGCTACATGACACCATTAAGACCGAAATGGCCTTGATCCGCACTGAGGTGACCGTGCAAGGGATGCAGATACAGGCCCTGGAGCACACTACTCAAGGCCTCATGACCCGGATTGCCGCTACTTATCAGGCACTGGCAAGGCAAGGCACCATGCTGTTGGAGATGCGCAGCCAGATGGAAGATCTGGATAATTGCAGTCGACAGTGCAACTTGCGGGTGAGAGGCATCCCTGAACCCAACGACCTCGAAAATGTTGAACGCATACTCACCTCCCTGTTTCAAGCCATCAGTGGGGAGGCTGCACCGACAGCATGTGCCTTACGTCCGCGGTCAGACAACTCTGTTCCCAGGGACATAATCTGCTGTTTGAGTTCCTTCAAGCAGGAGGAGACAATCATGCTTAAAGCCCGCAGCAGAAACTCATGGGAATTTCAGGGCGCTTAGGTGGTTGTCTATAATGACCTCTCCCTGCTCACCTTGGATGCCATACGGGCACTGATGCCGGTCACTACCATGCTCCAGGAACACAGGATACCATATTGCTGGGGCTTTCCATTCAGCTTGTCAGTCCGCCACCAAAAAGATTGGATGAACATAAAGTGGCCTGAGGAGGTACCGGAGTTTCTCGCCAGCTGCAGCCGATGCCAGTGGTCAACTGGGTGCTGGGGCCCTTGGACCTGAGGCCCTGTCCGAAGAGAGTTCCACATCGCAGGAGAGGGGACTCCAGCGGGCCCTCCACCCGACGATTCCTGGACCCAGTACGCCCGGAGGAGTGTCGATCCCACGACCCCACGGAATGTTTCCGACATGCTCAGAGGTAAAGCTAAGCCTTAAGCCTGTAGCTACCAATTGACTGCCCCTACCTTTGGGTGGGGGTTTGCACTGGGGTTGGCCCTCTGTTTCCCATTGAGACTCCTGTTACACGCTCCGCTATGTTGGGGCTGGTGGTTGTCATTTCCGATTTAATTTTTTTTTGTTTCTGTGGTACCCCACGTGGCGTGATGCCCACCATTGATACTAGCATACTCCTCTACATGGCGGGGTAGGGAATTGATGTTGCTTTGAGTGGGTTAGGGGCCCTAGGTGACACTCCTGCCAGCCTGTAACTCTATCTCTGCCGGCCCTACTGCCCCCTAGGAGATGGGTTTGCCACAGCCACGGACATATTCAATGTACTTGCTTGGAATAGCAGCCGCCACCTCCTACCTATCATGTTTCTTATTATGTTTTTATACACTAAATGTTTCAGTGCCTTACGTTTTGCTTCTCTGTATGCACCGTCTGTAAGTATATGGCTTGGGGAGGCTTGTGCTGCACATACCAACCTGGAGCGGGCTAGGCGCAGTGAAGTACACTGTAGCGGGATAGGACAAACAAAGGGGGGTGGGGTGTGACACCCAGGGGTGGGATACTGGCAGCATACTACAGGCAGTAGTGAGACAGCACTTGTCACTTGGGGGGAGGGGCATGGATTGCTTGGAAATGCACCTTTTACTTAATAAATCACCTAGGGAACGCCAGCGTGACAACTAGGAAATGCCCATCAGTGGACGGGGTGTAACATGTTTCCCATCGAGCCTCACGGGGGTGGAGGGGGGACTGTGGTACTGGGTACTGATGCGGAGGACTAGGGGACTAGTTGGAGACATTACAAGGAGTGGGTGAAATTCGCGCCTCCCGGGGATCACGCTCGTAACTGGTACATGTTCCACCCCACCTTATCTCACCATAAGACATCAGTTCAGTGGGTCAACTGGGGGGGTGGAGGGCCACTACTCGATCCATTACCTAACCTGATAGGAAAGCGGGTTGGACTCTCATTTGGATGGGCTGATGAGTGGGCATCTTTTCCTTAGGATGTACTGTGTTCTATCACTTAACTAAGACACCTGACACTTGCAGTTGGGAGCTGAGCCACGCACTCCTCGTACACTCGTGTGTGTCTTTAGGGTGGTGTGGTGTTGACGGCTTACTTCCCCGGCTGGATTCTCTAGAGCGAGTGCCAACTGCCATCACTGCCACACGAGTATCCTCTCGATAAAGGGGAGATTGCCAGGGGCAATACTTGCCCATAGTGGGAGCCAACCTCCTCCTTCTACCTCTTTCTCTCTGTCTTCTCACTTGTCTTCTCTCTTTGTCATCAATCGCTTTCCCTGTCGCCTCCCTCCTAGTGGGGTGGGATGCGGCGAGGAGACCGACGCTGCTCCTATCCCTGACCTACCCCTACATACTTCCCTGACCCTTGAGTGGCGAAGTTGCTGTCCTCCTTTGTGGACCTCGCCGCCTAATCCTGCAGAAAGTGGGAGCTCTCAATCTCCAGATGACATATCGCACGGCCTCGCTCTCGGTCCTCACACTCAACTACAGAGTACTCAATGCTCCAGAGCGTAGATCCCATGTGTTGCAGGAGCTCCGTACCCACGGAATATCTGTGGCTCTCTTACAGGAAACTCACTTCCTGGAGGGCTTGGCACTACGAAATTAAGATTATCCAGTCAATTATTTTAGTAACAACTCGACTTCACGGAGGGAATATTATTAGTAGGGATATTATTGGCGGCCGCTTTGCAATTTTAAGAACTAGACAACATACGGGACTCTGAGGGGAGGTACCTGTTCGTTAAGGGCAGGGTGGCGGAGAAAACATACACGTTTGCGGTCGTTTACTCCCCCAACCAAGGCCAATCGAACTTCCTTTGCAGGACATTGTCCAAGCTGAGTCAGTTTGAAAAAGGAACTCTGATAGTGGGGCAGGGATTTCAATGTCCCCCTAGATCCCATCCTAGATTCCTCTACTGGATACAGCAGCATACCCCAAAGGTGTATCCAAGTGATCTGTACTTCTCTCAGTAACATGAGATTAGTGGACTGCTGGAGGGCTTGTCATTCAATGGACAGGGATTACACTCAGGAAGGAAGGCCTAACACGTTTGCTCAAGGCGGAGATAGCCACCTCTACCTGGTCCGATCATAGTTACATAGTTACATAGCTGAAAAGAGACTTGCATCCATCAAGTTCAGCCTTCCTCACATTTGTTTTCTTGACCCCAGAATGGCAGTCAGATTTATCCTTGGATCAAGCAGTTATTACCCTACATTGAAAGATTATATCCTTGAATATTCTGTTTTTGCAAGTATGCAACTAGTAGCTGTTTGAACATCTGCATGGACTCTGACAAAACCACTCCTTCAGGCAGAGAATTCCACATCCGTATTGTTCTTACAGTAAAAAACCCTTTCCTTTGCCTTAGATGAAATCTTCTTTCTTCCAGTCATGGACCGGTTCTGATTGACATAACCAGCAAAGAGGACATGGCGGCTCAATGAGTCCTTATTGCGAGATCCTGCTATTAAAGAACAGGATATATACTTCGAGGGGGATGTCACCCACTACGGCGTGGGAAGCGCACAAGAGTATAATCAGGGGCTGTCTTATTGGTTTAGCTACCAATAAGAAGAAAGAAGCAGTGCAGTGGAACAAGGCCTACTACCTGTTACTCCCATCTAGGGCTTATTGCCTAAATCTAGATGTATTAGTACACAATACTTACCTTTAACTACATTAATTGATTCTTCTATTTCTCCCTTTTCTATATTCTCTCCTCCTAAAAGTCCTGCTATTTTTATTGTTTTCAAGACAAATCATGTCTAAGATAAAAAATAAAAGACCCTGAAATTAACCCTAGTTTCAGTCTCATCCCTGACCTGATCAGAAGCATGACTGGTGGCAGCTTATGCAGACGACCTTCTCTTTTTTATCACCAATCCTAGGATCTCCTTACCATGTTTGATGAGGGAGTTGGATGACTATGGTGGCATATCTGGCCTCAAACTCAATCTCACGAAATGCGAGGTGTTGAATATCTCCATCCCAAAATTGGATTTTGCAAACCTACGCCCACACTTCCCATTTCGCTGGTGCACGCAGAAAATTAAATCCCTTGGCACGTGGGTGACGGAAAACCAGAATGATCCATATCGCTCTAATTTTGAGCCCCTACTACGTCAAGTTTTGGACGATCTGAAGCAATGGACGTACCCGCAGTTGTCGTGGCTAGGCCGCATGGCAGTTCTCAAAATGAACATCTTCCCCCGGCTGCTCTACCATTTTTAGACGGTGCCTGTCTCGTTGCCCAAATCATTTTTCTCTTTATTAAAAACGGTGATCCACTACGTATGGAGGGGAGAGAGTTTCCGCCTTCGATATGAAGTATTATGCTTACCGAGGCGGTGTGGGGGTCTGGCCCTTCTGGACTTTAACAAGTATCACAGGGCAGCAACTCTGCAGTGGATACTGGATTGGCACACAGATTGTCCCCACCATCAATGGCCTGTTTTAGACTGGGGCGGATGACTGAATTTCTGCAATCTGCGTCTTTGGGAAGTTCAGTAGCTGACTCCCCCGTCGCCCATAACGTGGAGAGTATTGCATGGGGCTGAACATATCTCCCCCCCACCGAGCCCACTAATACCCCTAAAGCACAATAGATATCTGGGGGGCGGCATATCATCTAGTGCCTGGGAGTACATCTGTCAGGGTCTTACCTGTGGTGGGAGTCTGATAGGCAGAGATTTGTGCTCACCCTTGCAGATATACACAGTCCAAGGTGATAAGGTTAGAAACCACCTGGACTGTGAATCAGTGCATGGGGCTGTGCATGAAAGGTGCTCCAATTCGCTGTACAGACAAGGACACAAGCAGAAGGATCGTCGAGGATAAGCCAAAGTCAGAAGATGTCAGAGGTCAGGATAAACAAGGAGGAAAGCCAATGTCAGGAACCTGGGTCAGGTGAAGCACAGGTATCAGCCACAGATGGAGTAAAGCCCTTTAGTGCTGTAGACAAGCCAGGAATAACAAAGATCAAACATATTCAAAAGAACAGAATCTGCTGTGGCTTAGAGGCAGTATAGCAGGCCCAAGACACGAAGGACACAGGTTCAAATCGAATCGTTGCTTTTTGGAAGATGGTGCGGGATACCATGTTCAATGTCTTTGTAGAACCACAACCACTAACAGCGGAACTGGCTTTGCTGCACCTCACACCAGCACCAATCTCAACAAATAAAAAGTCCATCACTAGACATCTTCTCAATGTGGCTAAATCCCTCCTACAAGGGAACAGTGGCTGGGTCAAGTGGAGGACATTCAAGCTGCGGAAGCAACCCAGGCAGCACTTTGGGGCTTAGGAGATAAACATGTGGAGCACTGGTGGCTGTGGTTCATGTATATAGCAGACAAATCGTTCATGTATATAGCAGTCAAATCGAATTGTTGCTTTTTGGAAGATGGTGCAGGATACCATGTCCAACGTCTTTGGAGAACCACAACAACTAACAGCGGAACTGGCATTGCTGCACCTCACACCAGCACCAACCTCAGCAAATAAAAAGTCCATCACTAGACATCTTCTCAATGTGGCTAAATCCCTCCTACAAGGGAACAG